TAACTTCAAAGATTAGAAAGTTACAGAGGAAAGTGCTTGCCAGGATTAACAACATATTTTATGAAATATCCCGTTCTTTAAAATGACAATTTTCATATAATGTCACTATAACTAGAATAAGTTCACAGTACAAGGCAGCTGGCACCTTGTCAGATACATAGTATACTTTTAAATATACACTAAGTAAATAAATGGACTAAATAAACCAAAGAATTATTTTAAATGAAGTACATAAATGTTTAATCTTTGAGTATATTGCAATTAGAAAATATAATAAAAAACACATGCCAAACTAAGACTAACATTTACCAGAACTTGTGAGGTCAGGTGCATATAATTCTTCCAAAAGGATAAAGTAGATAATCTGCACAGGAAAGTGAAAAATGGCAAAGGCGAGAAATCTGAACAGTGTATAGTTATAGGTATACTCTGTATTTTGATATATATACACATACTAACTCATCTACATTTATATATATATATATATATATATATATATATATATATATATATATACACATACATACATACATACATACATGTTTACTGGAACACAGGAGGTTTTGAAAAGTCTCTGTTCTCAATTTTCTTGAAGGATTACACAATGTTAGTCTTATAAATATTTATGAAACATAATTGAGAATAATTTCAAAATGTAGAAATTTCTTGTCAAAAATCAAAAAATATTTTCTAAGTGTTTTAATACTATGAGGAATCAACTCAAAATTTTTCTTATAATACATGCCATACAAAATCTTAAATGATTTTACTTTAGAAAAATAAATAAGAAAATGAAGAAGCTAAGAGAATTAGCTAGTACTACTACTGCTACTAGATCTATAATATAATTTAATAAAATTTAGTCTAACTTCCACCACATATCCAGGGAAGAGATGAGAAAGATAACAAAATAGCTGTTGTTTCTTTTAAAGAATCTATGAGTACAGAATTATCATTTGCAGGACTTATGTATACATTGAGCATGACCAGGATACAACCCTGTCTAGGATAACAAGCCCTAGAAGAAATAGCTTCTTAGTTATCTTTTAGTAATTATTGAAGATTTCCAAAATTAATATATTTTTAAAGTTTAGGTGTACTTTATAACAACACTGACAGATTACTCCTACAGAACTAAAAGTAATCAAGAAAAATAACTGGAAGTGAATCTATTGTGTTAACTGTCAAGAAATAGTTACTGAGTACTGATTATTAACAAAGGATAGAGCTACATTAGGCACTTAGGACTCAAAATGTTTAAAAGTCAGTGTTTACCTTCCAAAGCTCAGGCTAAAAAGACACTAAAGGTAAATAGATGAATCACACTGTTAAAATTATATTTAAAATACAAAATAAACACCCATGTTCATAGTAACATTATCTAAAATAGCCAAAGATGGAAGTGATCCAAATATCCACAAAGAAATAAACAGAAAACAAATCTGTCCATACAATGGAATATTGCTTCCATTATAATATACCTTTTGTAAAAAAAAAAAAGAAAATTGTGAAACATGTTACAGCATGCATGAACTACAAGTATATTATTCTATAGAACAAGCCAAAAGACAAAAATAGTATGATTCTACTTAAAAAAAAAAAATACTTAAGATAATCAAACTCATAGGCAGAAAGTAGAATGTCAGTTACCAGGGACTCAGGGAAAGGAGAAATGGGAGTTATTCTTTGTGTATGTGCAGATTGTCTTTTTGTTCTTTTGTTTTTGCAGTACTAGAGATTAAACCCAGGGCTCATATTGAGTTACAGCCACAATTATTTTTTATTTATTTACTGACACAGTATCTTCTGAAGTAGCTAAATTACTTGGTCTGGGCTCAAACTTGTAATCTTCCTGTCTCAGCCTCATACAATCCTGGAATTATGGGTGCGTGCCACTGCCACCACACGAGTTGTTATTAAATGGATATACAGCAGTAATGGCAAACCTTTTAGAACTTTCAGTGATAATAAACAGCCAGCTGTGGCACATGTGCCATAGGTTCATCACCACTGATATAGTTTTGGTTTTACAACATATAATACTGAACTATATGGTTAAGATGTTAAATTTTGTTATATTTCTCTTAACACAATTTTTTAAAGTATAAATAAGCAAAGTTAGCAGGGTGTGGTGGCTGATTCCTGTCATCCCAGCATTCTGAAGGATCGCAGTGAATTTGAGGCCAGCCTGGGCTATATAGTGAGTTCATGGCAACCTTAGACTACACAATTAGATCCTGTCTCAAAAAAACAAACAAAAATTAGCAAAGTTAAGCACCAAGTGAGTGGTGCAGAAATAAAAGAAGACTACCTCAGAGAAAACAGCAAATAATAAAGAATTAGTTCAGAAAGTTCTACATCTTTTTTTGAAAAAAAAACTAAAATTGATAAGAAGATGGGACGGGCAGGAAGATATAATAATTAAAAACAATGACACAGATACAGGAACACACACTGTTGAGGAATACTCAACAACACTCTAGCTCATGGGTTGCCAACACAAAGCCAATCTGGAGAATAAGGCTATAAAACACAGAGGAAACAAATGAGGGCAATTTTTCCTGCATAGATTTCACAGAAATAAAGTTATAACCTCCACATGTTTATACGGAGAAAAGGCAATAGGAAGAGACTGACGATTTCATATTCATTCATCTCATCTTGACATAACAAAGTAAAATGACACATATGGATTAAACACCGTGACTTGATGAAATATAAACCTACAGAGAATAGTTTATATCAAGATCACCAAGCATATTTCACTTACTCTGCCAATTTACTAATTTCTTCATCAGCCCTGCACAGAAGTTTGTACTATTTTGATGCTACAAACAGTGCGACGCATGCGTTGAGCTACCTCATCTGACTAACAAAATTGCAGGGTACAGGTATTTGAAGAAGTAGCCCCATTGCTATGATCACCCGTTAAGCACTTTGTACTTTAATTAAAACATTTTTATCCTAATTTTGGCTATTCAGAGTTCTACATGCTTAACTTGTCTGTATGATAAATTCTTTTTCCACATCTCAAAAGTTTTCTGCTATTACCTGGGTAAATGTATTTTTGTGCTGCAATGATTTTCCACTAATTCTAATTATTCTTCTGTTAGTCCTCTTTGAGTCATCCAGTTGCTGCTAGATCCATTTTTCTTGTTCCCTTATTGTTTCTATGATATCTCTCACTAATTGATCATTACTCACAATCCTGTCCAAGAAGTCTGGCACTCTTTCTGATTCAGTTATTCATTAAGTGTTTTTCTCTTAATTATTAATTCATCGAGGGCCAATTATAAGTTAGACACTATGGTAGACATTTAAGATATAAAGATACTAGAAACAGATATAATGCCTGACTCCACAAAACTTAAAAGTTTAACATGAAAGTCAGATAATAGGTACACAAAGACATGATGGGGGCAGGAAGAATGTTTCTTGAAAGCTTCCCAGAAAAAGAAATATTAAAGCAAGAAATAATTCATTAATAAATGAGAAGTTAATTTGGCAAGAGAACAGGAAAAAGCAGCAGAGAGAGTCAAGAGCCAGTCCAAGGCCAGGAAAATAAGATAAAACCCTTAAACAAAAAGAAGCATCCTAGTTACACTATTTCTTTTCTTCTCCATTACACTTTTGTTCCATTTGTTTTTCTACCTTCAAAGTCTTTTCCTGACATCACGTGACTACCTGTTGAAATAATATGTATCTTTTAACAGTATATATATATATATATATATCCGATATGAAGATAGTACTGACTCATTCGTACCAGGAATGAAATAAGCATTTACTAATAAATGGATAATGCAATCATCATTCTTCCCAAATGACAAATGTGCTTCGTATTTGTCTTAGTTACTTCCTCATTGCTGAGACACAATACCCAATACATGGTCTATAGAGGCTATAGTCCAAACCCAGGTGGCTCTGAGACATGGTGGCATGGCAGTCAGGCATTACAGAGGGGAAAGAGCTCAAGGGATGGCAGACAAGAAGCAATGAGGGAAGGAGGATTTATACTGTCAGGTCATTCTCCCCAGTGACTCACCTCTTCCTACCAGATCTCACCTCCCGATATCACACTCAGCTATAAACCCACCAGTGAACTAATCCAGCAGCACACACCATGACCCAGTCGCCTCTTAGAAGCCCTACCTATGAGGATGTAGGACTTAGGGAGATGCCTGCATAGAAACCATTACAACATTGCAAATATGCTTGTGTCTGACACTGCCCTTTAACTCAGCATTAGACTATATACAGTATATCTCTGTCTCCACAGTCCCACATACACAATAAGCAATTGATACATTTTGTAAGACAAATAATTAACCATCTAGGACCAACTAGACCTACTGAAGAAAGATATTTTTATCTTCTGCTCCTGACCTTACAAGCACTTCACAGAAGTACTGTAGAAAATTCAAAATAGTCTTTAGATATGTATATTACTATTTAACATATTAAGTTCTTCTAAGAAATATCTCTAAATGCTGAAATTTGTTTTTGTATTCAGTGCCTTTAGTGATGCTTTTTGTGGGTGCCTTGTGAATTCTAAGCACAAGTTCTAACACTGAGCTATACTATTAGCTCCTGATGACATTACTTTTCAGCACTTAGGGATGACTGTACTGTGAAAAAAACTCTAAACTGAAACACTAGTACAGACAGTTATTTTTAGAATCTAAAGTCTTTAATTAATGAACAAGACAACCTGAGCAAGTTATTAGCATCTTATCTTTCTAAAATTAATATAAATTAGAAAACCTATGCTGTAAATAAGTTCATGTAATGTCCCTAATATCATTTAAGAACCAGGCCTTAGGCTGCCATCACAGAATTTATCATGTAATTTGTGATTTGCTATGAAAAATGAGGCCAAAGAATCAATCTAATCATTCCATTTTACAGATCTGAGATGAAATAAAAAAGTGAAAAGAGGGCTTTGAAAAAGGATAGTAAATGGTTTAAAAAAAAATTGCTATGTTGGTATATATATATACCTGTAGGAAAGGCAGCCCAAGGAATAGCAGGAGATGTTGTTGGAGTCTCACCATTTCCACCATCAAAACTCTCTGCAGCCTAGAAACAAAGGCAAGATTACTTTAGAGGATCTAAAAAGTAAAAGTTCTACTGCAGTGCTCAAGCATACTTGAGCACCTTCCGGGTACCCTACATCCAGTCAGTGTCTCCCTCAGACTCCACCGCCCTTCAGTGCTCACAGCCACCACTCTGCCACTCCCAAGCCCTCACTGCCTGTTCCCTGGGACCTCCAGGTAAGGTACTGCCTTTCTTATTCAAGTAAATCACACCAAAGAACTTTTTATTTATTACATTCTTAGTAAGTTTGCACTTGGAAACTGTATATCTAACTACTATAATTTAACTCACCACCACATTTAACTATCTATGTAAAAAAATTTTTCTAAAATAGACTAAATCTATTAAATTAGCATAATGCTTAATTAAGAGATTGATCTGAAAAACAGGATTCATCTATATTCTTAAATAATACACTAGCTGACTGTACTAGTATTAAATACATAACAGAATTCCTGAAGCTGACACATTCAATGAATTTCTGCTTTAGGATAACTATTGAACGCTGAGTTTGTGGGTAACTGTGTAGAGTTTTCTGTCTCGTAGGCAACCAGGACATAGAAAATGATGACTGAACATTAGAGCCACAATGTCAGTTTGGGTTCTGTATTGATTTATCAGCCAGAAGTCAAATGGAGGAATCTGCCACAGGTACTCAGTGACAAAGACAGTAGCTATTCTCTATGCTCTATGAAAAATGATCCTATTTTATATAGTTAAGTACAGACACCTTTTCTGTAGGGAGGCTTTGAAACTGGAGATTAATTATATGGGTGGGACTAATATAAGACCAGCTCTAAAAACAGAGCCAAAAACAAGCCATGTAAACAAAACTGTTCCAGCACCAAGAACGCAAGGGGCCCACGCTAGCCAGGCAGACAAGGTGCTAGGCAGAGGGGCTGAAATTGACATTCTTCTTTGGAGTGTGTGTGTGTGTATATATATATATGTGCTACAGGGTTGAGAAGTTCCTTCTCTCACATCAGGAGAGTAAGGGCTCCACCTGACCTCAGCTTTAATCTCCTTTTCTTTATTTTCCCATCTTCTTCCTTCCCCCAGCCCAGGGAACATGTGTAGCCAGTGGCTATCCTTCTCTGTCTCTAAGGAAGGATAGGAAGACAGAGAAACAAGGAACCCCAATTAAACAATAAGGGCCGTTCATACTTCACCTCTGTAATACTGAAAGGAGTGGATGCATTGAACATAATATTAAAGTGTACTTGTCACTCTGAGGAGCATCACTTAATGTTTTTCTTACAAACACATAATACATCAAACATGGTTTAAATAAAGGAAATTAATCGAGATTATAAACTTCAAATAACTAACAGCTTCCAAACAATAAATGAAATGAGGTAATAATCTGAGACATTTTCAAAAGGGAAAGAATTTTAACAGAATTTTAAATGTTACATTCAATGACACAAATAAAATTCGGCTTCTTCAAAAAACCCAAAATATTAAACAAAATAAAAGAAAAACATTCAAATATGCTAAAGAAAAAAGTTTTAGATGAAATCCAAACAATCGGGTATGTCCATATTCTAAAGATGTCCGCATTTATCAGATATAAAAGACAAAACAGAAAATGATACTAGTCTTAAAATAAATTCACACTATTCATTCATGAAATTCAGAACATTAAATATAATATATTCTTAATATCTTATTTTTTTCTATTAATGTAATCAATTATACTTCATAATTTTTACAATTGTAATACAAGGTAGGTGAAAGTCTTAGTTAAAAAGGGGGAAAAAAAAAACACCACATAGTTCACTTGGCCACTGGCATAGGACTTGAGCTCAGGCATCCTGACTCTCTTAACTCAGAGGTTTTTCCTTCGAGGCTTTACTGGCTCCCCCAAAATAACTGGATTTTAATATATTCCAGTAAAACAAATACACACTGAAAATGATTAAGGAAAAGACACTGCTTTTTCAGTTAACAATTTCCACTTAAGAGATGTCCTACTGAAACCTGAGAGAATAATCTCACAACACAAAAATAAACAAATCAGGTAAACAAAAATAAACAAATCAGGTTTTGTGTTTTCTGTACTAACTCTGGACAGGTGTAAATATGCAAACATGACAGTCTTTAACACTCATCCCTCATCTTACAAGCATTTCCTAACAGACATTTTACAGCAAAATGGCATGCTGACAATTTTTTAAATCTCTTCTTTAGTGCCTCCAACAACAGCATTTAATTACCTCTACTTAAACCATTCCTGTGGGCAAGACCTGACTTCAATAATAAATCAGTTTTAACTTCCAGAAGGAGGATATTTTTTTAATTTTTTTTATTTTGTTTCTTATTCCAGAGTTACATACAAAGTGATTAAGATCACAAATGTCAATGAAAAGTAATATATTTTCACAACAGTTGAGTCCACTATAACTCCGAAGTTAAAATAAACTAATGTAAATAATAATACATACCTCAAAACCACCAAAATCATCATCGTCCATTCTTCAAGTGGCACCTGAAAAATATCAAGACACTGAAACAAGGCCACACATGAAATCATGCATGTCAAGATATTTCTCCAACTTAAATGTATATAAACTTTGATTTGTAAACTAAATCTATTTCATTTGGATTCAAAAACTCGATCCATGCACTTTTAACACAAGAAAGTCCTTTTACTTTTTGGCAAAATTAGCAACTTTTGTAAATTTTTCAGCAACCATGTATTTTGCAATTTTATATTGAGACGCCAGGAGTGGAAAAATATTCTTTTACATTTTAATTTGCTTTTCCCAAATTGGAGCTATGGCTCAATTCAATAATGCTTCCTGCTTTTTGCATCTATTCCTCAGTTGTCTGGCAACATCAGCACAAAACTCCAGCTAAGAACAGGACTGTGGTGAATTTTTGGAAATCTGTCTCTCACCACAAAGGTTCTTCCCTCGGTTTCATGGCCGGGGTTGATTTAGATTTTCAAAATTGATCAGCATTTTTGAGCTGTGGCCACAAATTTTGGAGCACTTTGATATGTGTATTTTTAGCTAAAAGTGCTTTGCACTATTGGAAAAATGTGGAGCAAGTTACCAAGCTGATCAAGATAAATCAAGTCATGTATTCATAGGAGACTAGGGATGAGAAAAACACAAGCTAATATCCAGAATTCCTCACTTCTTTGCCCTTAAAGTGTACAAGAGATACAAGCAGTAGAGTAGCACATGCTTTATTTGGTCCTAAATGTATGTTATAAAGTGAAAAGAGAGAACCATTAGTATCTGGGCCCCAGAAATAAAGCACCAGCTTTACCTAACACCACAAAAAAAAAAAAAAATGAAATACATAAAAAGGTAAAATACACAATATGTGGTACACATTAGAATAAAAACTAAATCCTTACATAGTTCCTCAACCTATGATTTAGAATCTACAATTGTGAATCAGTAGCTGCAAGTGATATTCTGGTCAATAATAATAACTGTCTTCCTTTTCTATCTTTCAAAAGTGAACATATCCAAAATAAATTACAGTTTCTTTTTCTCAGTAATAGAAGATGAACTTGATCATAGAAAAACATGCTGTCCCACTTCTCAAAAAAAAGCTTCAAAAATTAAGCCTTTTGTCAAGCAGTAACCCGAAGAGTTACTAAGATCATCTGTTCCGAGTTGTCATCTATATCCATGCTTTCCTTCTTGCTAAAAATAATACTAATGCCTCTAAAAGGAACACTAAGAATAATAAAAGTCAGAAAGTTAACAGTAAAAAACACCACTCTCAGGAATGTTTTTAATAAGCCAAGCAAATTTATTTTCATAGAAATTCAGTAGATAATGACAGAATTCTTTTAAAAGACATTAAATTAACCAGAGTAAGATAACAGTATTGTCTTCATTCCCTATAACTTAATGACTTGAAGAAAAAAAAATTTAAAAGATGTATTTCTCCAAAATTTAAAGTTAAATAAATCACCCACATACATACAATACTTACAAAATATAAACCAGACTTTCAGAAACTTTTGATGTTGACTGATTTGAAATGGAATTCACATTAAGTTTGTGTTGCAAGTGAACAGAATCTGTGTATGATTATATTTTCATGAAGGAATTATGAAAGAATAATGATATAGATACTGAGAATTAACCAAGTCAAACCATAAACACCAACTTTGTCTTTTCCCCATGTAGCCCACAAATCTCAAGAGACAATTAAAAAAATATTTTTAGCATGTACAAATGCCATTGTCAAATACTATGGTTTCAAAAGAATGGAATTTTAAGCGTAATGCCCCTATGTGTTTTCATAAGTCACACATCAATAAGTTAGCTGTAAGGTGCCAGAAATTTGAAAACAAAAACAAATGCCCATGTTTAACAATCACTTCAGCCTCTCTGCCTGTGGTAAGGAATCCAGTATCATGAGTTTGCTGAGCACTGAGCTCTATGAAAGAATGTATTAATGACCACTCATGTTTTCTATGTCCTAGAAATTTCTACATATTAAAATGCAGATAACAGATTTATTCTTCTTTATTTTCAAAGAAATATTAATATATCTCATAGAAAACAAAAGTATCCTGAGTTTAAGTACAGTACTACAGAAATAAATTATTTTAGAGCAATAAATTTTCTCCAAATAATTTTAAATCCTGTAATAGATTGTGTTTCCTTATAACATCTTAAAAAGTTCAAGAAAATTAACAGCACTGCTTTTTAAAAATCTAATTTTTAAGATATGAAGTATGGACTTACTTATGAATCTACCTACTAACATATGTATTAAATGTTATCTAAAGTTCATGTCTTTAGAAAGTTTTATGATATTTGTGAAACATATCATTATAGCCAATTAAACTACAAACACCATAATAATGTACCAAAACCAAATGTGCCTGTGACAGAATCATGAACCTGGCCACACAACTGACAGATTACGTAATGCATCTTTCCAGATTATATAATGCAGGTTTTCTTGTCATGGCAGAAGAGACATATGCTTTATTATGATTAAGGAATTACACTGAAAGTTATACAATATCTAGATTTAACAACTCTCAGATTTAATCTCATATGTTGCTCTATTATATTAATTCCCTATTTTGCTGTTTTTAGTAGATAATGTGTTCCTAACATTCTAAAAATATTTTACAAGAAAAACATAACAGAAAGCAAAACACACACAAGAATGATCAAGCTTTTGTGGAGCAACTCTACTTACAACATCATTCAGAGTTCTCAAGACATTAAAAATCTAGTTTGAAGGAAAGTGCAAAGGATAGAAAAGCATGAGAATTCAAATAATATGAGATACAGAAATGCTTAATAGATTTTTAAATGTCCAAGATAGAAGGAAAGTGTTAAAAGTGACAAGTCCACCAGAAGCTTAATGAAACATTTCAGATAAGAAATATCTGAGATTTCAACCTGCCTGACAGAAAACTTCAAATGAATTAAGAAAGTGTACTTTATTCAAGTCTTCACCAGTAAGTCTTTTTCTAAGATAACTTGTTTGCTTCTGCATAAAAAAGGTTAAATAGCATCTGAAATGAGAAAACTGCAAAAAATGTGAAAGCAATTAAAAAAAGATGACAAATTACCAGTGGAAGAAAGGAGGCTCATTCACTTTATAACACAGAATCCACAAAAGGTTCAACAATGAGCAGACCTCAAGTGAGCACAGTGAATAGATCCAAAATAGGAGTCAAAAGTCTATGCCTGGACTCCTCCACAAGCTGCACAACTGGGCAAGTGGCAGTTTCTCCCTCCAGCACAGTGAGGTTATTTCCTGGGTAGATACCAACATTCACAGATCCACTAAGCCAAAATTCTTTGAAATGATGAGTCTTAGTCCTCATTCCTCACTCAGCCACCAGTATACCTGTAGCTGGGCTTAAGTCTCTGAGTAGAAAGGTGGCTGATAATGTACTTCTCTGATGAATCCAGTCCATTAATGAAAAAGGACCTCAGCAGAGGTCCCACAAATAAGCAACTCACTCAGGGAACACTCCTCTGACAAATCCCATCAATACACACCAAATTATGATTAGTTCCTCATTTCTACAACGGGTAAAAATACATTCTATCAGAATGTACTAAGGGATCATGCAGCCTGAATTCAATTCCAGATTCAACTCTTACTGTGTAACACTAGGCACTGCACAAACATTTTGACTCAGCTTCCTCATATGTCAAATAGGGGAACAATAACTTTCTCCTAAAACTATGAAGTGTAAACAAGTTAAAATAGATGAAACATTTAGAGCAGTATCTGATGAGTTCTTAGCCTTCTATAAATGTTTACTGCTTTTATTATTAGTGCCAAACTCAACATAAGAATAAGCTATCAAGGACAACCAAAGATACAAAGACAGACACTAAACAAAAACAAAACAAAAGATGCAACAGAAACCAACCAAGAGTAAAAATCCACCCCTGAAAAAAAACTACAAAAACTAACAGCCAGATATGATGGCATACTACTGTAATTCCAGCACTCAGGAGGCTGAGGCAAGAGGATTGGATCATTGAAAATTTAAGACCAGCCTAGGCTACCAAGTAAGCCCAAAGCCAGCCAGAACTGCATAGGAAGACCCTGTCTCAAAAAGACTAAAATAAAATACAAAAGCTATAATCTTTTCAGTGAGTTAAGAGAAGGCAATGTATGAAGTAAAGACTAAATATGTAAAAATTTTAAGGGAGGATGTAGATAAAGATGGGGAGGGAAACCAAATCAAATAAAAATAATGACAGCCAAATATGCAAAGCAGAAAACAAAGTTAATCAAAATTTCCTTAAAAAGCATTTAGAAGAAGAAATTGAAAATAAGAGTAAAATATTTAAAAATTATAAGATTCAGCCAAAATATGTAATATCTAATCATTAGGAGTTCTAAAAACAGAACATAAAAGTAAAAAATCACCAATTAGGGTTGGGGATTTAGCTCAGCAGCAAAAATGCCTGCCTTGCAAGCACAAGGTTGTGAGTTCAATCCTCAGTACAAAAAAAAAAAAAAAAAAAAAAGCCATTAAATAAATGACTCAAAAAAATTGTCGAAAAGTACAATCTATTGAGTTGTAATAGATCCAAGTATTCAACAAAACAGAAAAAAGGAAGAAAAGTCATCAAGATATAATATGTAATAGAGACAAATAAAAAAATATCCAACAAGCTTCCTGAGCAATATATAAGATTTCATATCAAGAATATAATTGCATCAGGATTCAAAAAACATCCCTGGTATGTGACAAACAATGCAGGAGATACCTGTACAATTCAGAGAAAAAAATGACTTATAACAAACCATGCTATAATTAGCCAAATCAATAAATAAGTTGGCAGAAGAAAAATTTCACATCTACATCTATCAATTCTCAAAAAATATTTATTCCAAAAATGCATTTTATTAAAAAGCTACAGTGTAAAACAATAGATTTACGAAGAAAAGAAGAAAAGGGATTAGGAAATAAGAGATCCAACTAAAGTGAACAAGAAAAGGGATTCTTCCCAAACACTGAGGGTACAC